CCTCATGATCACACAGGTTGGTAAAAGCCCATCTTAAGCGATCTGTGAATGGGTTGACATGATCCTTGCTCTGGCCGAAGATGCCTGATAGAGAAAGCTTCTTTTTAAAACATCCTGCTTCACAACTGTATCCGCTCAACTGAATATGGGCGAAACCATGTCATTTCCTAGGTGAACATTATGTTTCCTTGCGGCTGTTCTGTTCCTATACGTACATGGCTGCTCTCAGGATGAGAGGTGGCATAAAAATATCAAATATTATTCATAATAAGAAAGGTGCATGCCATCTTGGTGACATGTTTTCTCAGCGGGAAATTGGTTTTAAGGAACAAAATTAGGTTCAATCCACCCATGAGCATGTGAAATGAGCAATTTTCTTGCTTTTCTTGATGTGAGTATATTTTCATAAGTTAACAGATGAGTCATGGCGAGAATGACAGTTTTCTTCTATGCTGTATTTTTTTTCTCGCGCGCTCATTGCCTTGGCCCTACACAGTATAAGGTAAAATACATGCATTTGGTAAAATTATACTGCTCATGCGCCATTCAAGTTTCTGGAACTCAAAAGGAGTCCATCAAAGTATTTGACATTAGACAGTTTGACAGATTCATCTCTATAGCTAACAGTCCCCGAATGTGCCATGATTTTTTTTTAAATGGCCTTCACCTGGCTGGCCCTTCCTTTTCCATCTGCCAAATCATCCTGATATGTAAAGGTCTGGTTCAGTTCTCAGAGGCTTCTAAGGAGAGTAAGGATTCCTTTGGCTAGAATGAATCGTTCCCTGTAATGTACCCAATCCCCACCACATTGAGCTCAAACACCCCAAGGATCAGGAAGCTGACGTGGCTGGGGGTAAGGTTGAGTGCTGCAGTGGAGGCACCAAGAATTGAAGCTGAAGCAAGGGCAACCAACCACCAGCTGCAGCAACACTGAAGTCCCAGGACCACGTGTTCCACCGCTCCCTCTGCTGCTCCAACTGGAAGGCAGGAAGATGCTTGCTTCGTGTTCTTGATCTCACATCCCAGTATTTAGACAGGTGCCTGACACCTTGCTGCCTTTGAATGGCAAGGATCATGAGGGATGCCATTCCTCATTTTCCCAGCCACTGCAATTTTACTGAAAGGTTTACATAAAATCCCTGGACTATAGGAACAATACTAAATATAAGCATCTCCTGCCATTACTGGTATGGGGGTTCCAATAATAGCATCAAATATGTATTATTCCTTTGGGGATTTGACATTTACTTTTTTATTTTTTTAAACAAAACCCATTATTGTAATAGAATGCTCCTTTTCTGGTTCGCTTTAATAGTAACAGATGACATATTTCATTTCTGGGAAATGATAGCTTGCCTTAGGTCATATTGTAAGGCATAAAGCCAGAGGCAGAGCAACGCTCCCACCTGAAGCTCTCTAATCATCTAGAAATGTGGCTCCCTCTGGGAGAGAGGCATTTAGAAGGGCCATGTCACCACTACCGAGCCTCCATCCTTAAAGACAAAGTGAATTGACCCGGAAGTGTTAGAGTTCCTTTATGGACACACAGGTGCATGCGTTGGCAATCTGTAGGGGCAATTGAGGGAAGAGTGGCCATCCACACTGAGAAGGTTGGTGTCAGGGTCTACCCAGTGGTCCAGTGCTCCCTTGGGACGTCGGCACCATGGCCCTTTGGCAACACTGGAAGAACAAGTCACTCCACTCACCCTCCGATTTCTGGACCCTTTTCCAGGCTGTTCTATCAAGACTGGTCTTTGAAATATTATTTGCAAATGGTTGTTTCTTTATTGGCTGTCAAGGTGCCTGACCTCTCAGGGACCCATCTCAGGAAATCCCTCTTACTCCTTCATTTGCAAGCCATTGTCATTTCTTCGTCCTAATACGCCCAGCCAAGCACTTGAATTCCTTTGTGGAAGAATACTGTGTGTGCTCTGTGTGAGTGAGGGCATTTGTACTTTTGGCCCGGTGCCACACCATGCATTCAAGGTGCAGCCTGGCTGGAGTCAAGCGCCTGTCAAGATGTCTTATGGCTTGCATCTATGGCAGAAGATACCCCAGCGCAGGGGACGGCTGGGTTTTCCAGTGGTTTCAACGACAGGGAACAAAAAGCCCTGATTATTCCATCCCAACCAGGTGGGTAAACATTCCATCTTTATCCAGAAGGCCGGCCACGCCTGCACGGCAGAAACACCTTTGCCTCCACCACTCTCTACCACACCACTAATAAGCCCAAAAGCCTGCTCCCAAAGGACTCTTCCTTCAGAAGGGTGAGCGAGGGAGAAGCTTAATCCCTGGCTTTGTCCAGTAATTAGCCTCCCTCTTCGGAGGCAGCAAACACAGATGCTGAACCGGATGAGCTTGGGGACGCGGCATATAAACAAGACTGACTCATTTCTCCAGAAGCCTTTTAGCTGCCGTGACGATGGTAAGAACTTCTGATTTCAAGGGCTGCTCATTAAGGTTGAAGGGGTGGGACAGAGCCTCTCCCAGCAGTGATAAAGCAGGAGGAACAAAGGCCACCCAAGGCTTGGGGGATGCATGACTCGCCAAGGCCCAGGCTGTGACAAAGAGAAGCTCTGTCATGAGACACCATTCTTGTCATCCCACTTACTCGGGCCTCTTTGCTCAAGAAATGCCATGGAAATACTGTTTACCAAAACCACAACCTCTGGAAGCGCTGTGTGGTGAGGCCATAGACACAATTAGCTGGTCGTTAAGGACGAAGCCCCCACAAAAATGAATTAAGCAGACAGTTCTCTTAGCACAAAGGGTCCGAGGGCTGTTTTAAAGCCTCTATTGTGACATCATTGAATAGTCATTCCGAACTCCTTCAAAAGTGGTGCTTGGAAAACAGAGGCCAGGCCGTGTTCTTTCAGCTGTGGGTTTTCTTCTCCCCTCTCCAGAATCTGACAAAAGTCAGCTGCAACTGTCAAGGAAGAAGCATCACACGACAGGACATTTCCCCCAAATTTGAAGTCTACAGAAAGAGTGACAAATCTGTTAGCTAGATTACGCTAGCACAAAAGTGACCCAGCAGAGCCTAGGGGGTACAGTACTATTGTGGATATATGAGTTCGCCCTTGACACGGTTCATAAATTTGAGGCTGTGACAAAGAATTAAAATGAGATCAATTTGGCTTTGATCTGAATTATCTGTTAAGCTCCATACACAGAAGGATCAATAGGATGGGTGTTGGCACTTGTGTTTTCTCTAGACACAAGCCGTATTAGAGACAAAAAGAATTCCCTCTCTTTCCCATCCCCAGAGGGGCTCTTGATGGAAAGGCCCCTCTGCCCTTCAGCTGTGTTTTCCAGGGTCTGGAGAGGATCCGAGGGAACCCTCTGAAATTCCCTTCATTGCTGGATGGATTGTTTTGGTTGACTTGTTCATTTTCGTTCCAGTCCATACCCAATGGCCAGGACTACGGTGTGCATAGGAAAGAAAGCAAGTAAAGTATTCATCTAGCCTAAGGCAAGCAGCCCTGGTGGATTAGTGGTTATGTGTTGGACTGCTAACCAAAAGGTCAAGTGTTCGAAACCACCAGCCACTCCTCAGGAGAGCGAGAAGGCTTTCTATTGCCATAAACAGTTGCAGTCTCAGAAACCCACCGGGGCAGTCCGACCCTCCCTATAGGGTGCCATGAGTCGGAATGCACACAATGGCAGTGCGTTTGGTTTGGGTTTTTGAGCTACATCAAAGCTGAATGTTTCTCTCTCATGGCAGAGACTCCTAGCCGCTCCCTAGGATTCTGCTCCTGTCCCTCGGTAGTTGTGACTTTCATTCGAATGGCAAGCCAGACCCCATTGTGGTTATTGTTGTTAGGCCCTGCCTTCTCACACCCCTGTGAACCAGAGAGTGAAATGCTCTCTGGTCTGGCACCGTCTTCACCACCATGCGATGTTTGAGCCCACCGCAGAGACCACTTTGTCACCCCAGCTCCATGGAGGTCTTTCTTTTTCCCACGGACCTTCCCTTTGACCAAACACGATGGCCTTCTCCATGGATTGGTCCTGACGGAGAACATGTCCAACGTAAGTAAGACGCCGTCTCGCCAACCTGGATTCTCAGGGAGCATCATGGCTGCACATCTTCCCAGTCGCCTTGATTCTTTCCCGCAGACACTTCATGGGGCATTCGTGGTCTTCACCAACACCCGGATTCAGATGCATCGATTGGTCTGTCCTCCTCGTTCCCTGTCCACCTTTCTTATGCAGGTGAGGTGATTCAAAAATCATGGGTTGAAGAATTTTTAGCAGTTTTCTTTAGGGAGGCAAAATTATGTTTGTCATATGAAATAAAAAATTTTTAAAGGAGATGAATTGCACAAAGTCAGGATAAGTGTTGTTCTATGAAGCTTTCTTCCATGATTATATATGATACTTATGATGGTGAGTCCTGCCAGTTCTATTTATTATTATGGACTGTGGTTTAAATTATTTTTGAAAGCCACTATTCCACGATGATAAGACGCTGATATTGAGTGGACATCTGACCACCCAGAATAAAGATTGTATTTCCTGGTCTCCATTGCAGTTAATTGGGGTCACGTGGCCAGGATCTGAAGAACGTCTGAGAACACACTTACTCAACCCTTTGCATCTTCTTTCTTTCTGCTGCCTGGAGGTATTTTCGGTTGGACCAGATGGATGAAAACAATGCACTAGGGGTCGCAGAGCGACAAGACGGAAGGGAGGTGATTCCTGGGATAACTCCCAGTAGCAAACCTTGCCCCTCAATACTACGCTATGGGGGGAAAACGAGGTTGTCTTATTTAAATACTGCTACTTTGGTCTCCAGTACATCTGATTCCGAGCAGCCAATTTTGTAGTGTCACTACAACCAATTTCAAATAAAAGAAGGAAAATAACTTCAATTTAATAATGATTACAATGAGTATCCATCATGGAGAAGGCTCTGGTAGCTCAGTGGTAGAATGCTCACCTTCCACGCAAGAGACCCGAGTTTGAGTCCCACCTATCACCTGTCTGTCAGCGGATACCTGAATCAACCATGATGCCGAACAACTAGTGAAACCGCCGGACAAAGCTTCACGAGAAAGAAGGAACTCGTGGTGATCTACTTGCAAAAAGGAGCCACTGCAAACCTTCCGGATCCTAACAGTCAATCTGCAACAACCCCTGGAGATGGTGCCGAATGAGGCAGCGCTATCTCCCATTATACATGGGATTGCCATGAATTGGGAGCCAACTCCAGCAGCCAACCACAGAGCAGTAACATCTATCATGGGCCAGCTCATGGTTGGTCTGCTGTTAAGGAAAGTGAAATCTCATTAGTAAAATGAGACCTGTGTTTGAGTAATGAAATGATGTGAAGGAGTGTGGGATTGCCAACATGAGTGGAGATAAAAATAAACCCTACCAAAGAAATGGGGGGTGGGAGGAAGAAAAGAGGGGTGAAGAGAGCAAGAGTGGGGAGGAGGAACATTGCTGAGAAGTTCTTGGCTACTTGGAAGAATTAAAATAAAATTAAAGTCCTCCAAAATAGATTGGAATGCCTTCCTTTCTCTTGGATTTCCCATATCCAGCCCTAAGTATCACCCAACCTCGTGACCAACAGGGGTCCAGGCAATGCCAAAGCACCCAGTGTACAATGTGCTCTTCATTTACACAGACTCATTCTTTTTCTTTTTAAAATCATTTTATTGGGGGGCTCTTACAAATTTAATAACAATCCATCATTCAGTGGTATTCAGTACATTTGTACATATGTAGCCATCAATATTTCCAAAACAATTTCTTTCTACTTGAGCCCTTGGTATCAGCTCCTCTTTTCTAAATCCACCCCCTCCCAACGCTACCATGATGCCGGTGCAAAGGCCTCTTTCTTAGACCCTTCTGCATGTGTTAGTGCAGGTAGAATAGAGAAACAAATCCAGAGATAGTTATATGTGTGAGAGAGGACTGTATATCAAAGAGTAATTGTATATTAAGAAAACATCCCAGCCCAGTCCAGATCAAGTCCATAAGTCTGATATTAGCCCATATGTCTGATACCAGTCTATGATTTCCTCTTCAGACTCACACAGCACATTCAATGACACCAAATGTAGGCAGATCACAGTCCAGTGGGTGGAAAGTCATGTGTATGCAGTGGCAGTGGAGCATCTCAGCCCTGGCGTGGGTCTATATGTGGGTACTCCAGGGCTCTGGTTCCATCAGGGGTCTCCATGCGGCTTGTCAGCAGGGAGACAAGCATAGTGTGTGGGTCTGACCTTCAGTGAGCTATTGATCTCCTTCCTGCCTCCAAATGAGGTCATCAAGCTATGACCTGATTGACAGGCTAGACTCCACCCCCTGTGCAAGTTGACAGGAGATTATGTAACTGCCGCACTGCTGAACAGGCTGCTCCCCTTGTGGAAAGTCACCCTGGATTTGGTGAGAATGGCTTCCTTATGGCTTCATACCCCTTCCACCTGGGCACACCTCTACATAAAAATCCTTTGATCTTTGCCCTCGTACACAAGATGTTGGTGAGGTTGCTAATATTTCTTTGGTGATTTCAGCTGCAAATTACAGTGTGGGTATTCTGGCTTTCTGCATACCAACACGAAGCCATTGAGCGCATGCGCCTCCCTCCTTGGAAGATGCACCACTCTGAGATACAGAGATACATTCCTGGCAAAGCAGGAACGTGTGAAAAAGAAAAGTGTTATTTCAGCAAACTCACCACAGAGGTATGTGTTAATTAAGTTAATTGTGCCATCAGTGATGCAGAAGATGACAGTAACTGCTCCCCATAATGGGACTGGGTTATTGCCATCATTTATAAAATATGCTGTGTTTTTTGTGTGTTTTTTTTTAATGCAGCCACTTTTCCTTATTATTTTTTTAAGATCTGAAACATGGGCACATGTGTGCAAGCACACACACATGATTTGTAGTTTACCACTATTCCCATCAATTATTACATTAGTTAATCCCCATACATCCTCTATCAGGAGGAACAGAAGTTATTATCTCTAGTGAGCTGATATTAGGAATGCAATTCAGGTGTGTCTAGTGACTTTCCAAGGGCCACCCCCCTCTACTCTTCCACTTATTAATTACCAAAAAATGGATGAAAATGAACACAAGCCCATTCAACAATGTTTACTTGCATAGTTCGTTGACAATGGACATGACCTTCACATCATGCCTCCCTTACCCCTCTCTCTGCTCTGTATTGTTTTACCACCATGAACGTAGACCCTCTGTCCCTGGAAGTTCTCATCTGTGTCTCAGAGTTGCGATTGTCCATGCGATCTCATAAAGATCATTCTTTACGAGCACATGATGCTCCAGGTTAAAATTCTCTATTAAATTAGCTTAATTGTTGTGTGGTTCAAAGATGACTGCACAGGGTAGTTTCTGTTCAAGGTTTAAGAGTTAGTTCCTGGCAATCGATTCAGCAGGGTTCTCCACTTTTCATGCATCCAGTTATGTCTGGATTCTATGAAAATGTTGAAGTTCTGTCCCACATTTTTTTCTCCTTTTGATTCAAGATCCATCTATCGGGTTGTTGATGAAAACATTCAGTACTAGTAGCTGGGGACTGTGCATTTCTTCTGGTTCCACAGCAAGAAAACCACCTCTATTCTTAGTGGAAAAGTCAAGGTCCAAGTTGAGTGTCCCTTACAAGGTGTCACACCATACATCTCTGGTACATACCCTTCCTAAGGGCAAACTCCCAAGTTTTATATTCCCAAGCACCAAGCAGACTGACATGGCAAAGATTAAATAAGCCTTTGTCTTTGAAAATGGTTGGTGATTTGTCCAATAGCCCCATTCATGAAACATGAAGACAGTCACTCAGATACGGTTGATCAAGACCAAAGGCAATATGGATGAATAGAAATCTGGATCATCTGGAGAGTTATCCAAGGCGCCTCCTTCTAGATGATCCCCCAAATATCAGGAGACATCAGTCATGACTGACTCATGAAGACTAAGGAACAGCCAAGAATGTCAGATCAGCATAGCCTTTAGTGGACTGGACTATTGTTGACCAAGCTTCCAATCCCATCAGGAGACAAACGTCTATTGAGAGGCTTCAGGACAGACCCCTGTGCTACCGAAATGACTGTCCAACTTACTGGCAGATGGGTGGCACAATTGATATCCTCAGTCAAAGCATACATCTTCTTGGGAGGGTGACCTCACAAGCCTTTTGAATCCATTTCACTTAAGGTCACTGGACGGATGGCCCCCCGTGGCTGGAGCACGGCCCCCTGGGATAGCCTGGAGGCGATGATCATTCACTCTCAAAAGAGATTTCTGAAAACTGCCAGTCAGCTTGGGTTTGGTGTGCTCAGGAGGTCAACAGCCGTGGATTCCCCATGACCATCAAGTCGGTGGCCAAATCCTGATCCAATAGAACGAAGGAGGCTCCATGGAAAGCTGCCCAGTTCTGCACCATCCCTATGAGGGGTGGCAATTCGTGCCAGTGTGAGCCACTGGGCTTTTCAGAAGTAGATCCCAGGATTTCTCTTCCTCATCTTCGTCTGAAAACTCTACTGACACCTAGTCAACCGCATGGCAACACACAAACCTGACACCACTCACATGCTTGACGAGAAAACGTCTGTAAAAGATAAAGTCAACTCGCAGGTTCCCCTCGAGTCCAAGTGAACCGTAGAAACAGAGGTAAAAAATGGGCTTCTTCTCCAGGTAACTGAGACTCCCTCGTGGGTCCTCTTTTATAAGCTTCTTGGAGGGATCCTCCGAAATAAGTTGAACAGAAGAAATCAGAATTCCTTGGCCAGGGTGTCCCCTCAGCCTGAGGAAGAGCAAGTGTTTAGCTGGTTTGTGCCTCCTTTACTATTAGTATCTGCTAGCATCAACAAGCATTATTGCCGTCGAATGAATTGCAGGAAAAAAACCCAACCAACTTAAAAAAAAACAACCCCTGAAACTGTTCCCCCAAAGAAGCTTAATGCATCAGACTAGAGATTGCTAACTTTTGAAAGGTCTGCTTGTTAGCTGGTTCTTGGCTGGTGTCTGGGAACTTGGATTTAGGGAGGGTCGCTCCTCCTCCCACTAGGCACCAACACTTTGGGCAAGCAATATGGCTTGTGCTAAATGCCCGCCTTCCTTCTTGAACTCTGGGGTTTGGATCCATGCCAGGCCGAGGGTGTCCACCTGGCTCAAGAGAAAAAGCAAAACTCATTCCTGTCGAGTCAATGGCGACGCCCAGCTCTCAATAAAAACAAGGAGTGATGGGCTTCCGCTGAACTCCCCTCAAAGAGCCACCACCCCAGCAGCCACCTGTTCCTGGGAAGACCACCTGATAAAGGGGGCACCTGCTCCCAGGGGGTTCCTGGCTGTGACCCTAAGGAAGGCCCTGGGTGACAGCCATGGTTAACTACCCAGCTATCCACCCAAATGTTAATGATTCAAACTCAGCCAGAGGTGCCGCAGAGGACAGCAGGCCTGGCGATGTGGCCCAAACACCTCAGGAAGCCGGGTAGGCCCACTGGGTGTGAGGCTAGACTTCCTGGGAACCAGCAGCAGCACCCAGCTCAGAGAGGCAGACTGCCAGGCCTCTCTTTGGAGGCAGCTCTGGGTGGGTCTGACCGCTAACTTTGTATCAAGTCACTGGGTGCAAACCCTAGGTGACACCCTGAAATCTAATGGGTTTCCCGAGCAGACCTTTCATGTGGTTGACACAACTCCTTGCTGGAGAAGGACAGGGGTCTTTTATGACTCGGAGGTGACAGGGTTCTTTACCCCAGGTGCCTTTTCCCTCCGCTGTTTGGCTTGGCAGACTTTTGCTGTGGTAAATCACAGGTGAATCTCCCGAGTTTGCCTAAAGAATCGCCATCCAAGCAGGGGTCCTGGGGACCCCTGACACAAAAACACTCTGTAGGCGGACTTTGAAAGGAAAGGGTAGAGGTGGAAGGTGAGACAGAATTAGAAACAGGGCTGGTTTCTGGAGTATGAGACCTGGGCTCTCGCACAAACCCCCACCACCACCACCACCAGAAACCATGCAACCATGTGATGCTGCCATTTGC